CACAGTTTCTGACTGGACAATAGCCCTCCACATCGACATTTAATTTTAGATAAACAGGACCCAAATACTCCACAATTCTGATGAATTTTGTGGAGTCTTTCAGACATACAACACTTGAGTTAGGAGAAAGATATCCAAAGTCATGGGAAAGGATACTGGAAGAACCCACAAAAAAACCCCAAAAACCTAGATTAGACACATTCTCCCCTCAACAATGGGGTCAGTTTTCTTAAGATGGGCTCTCAAACAGGACAGGGAAGAAAACACACTGAGACTGAAGCAGCCACCCTGATTTCCCCAAGACATTTCACTAGTCTATGCCATGACTAGAATGAAGTGGTTCAAAAGGGCTATTTAGCAGTAACAAAACATTTTCATTTTCCTAAGCAGGCCCTTACAGGTGGCACAAAGCACTTCACAAAGCATTTGAGATCCATCAGTTAAGACCGTCTCCCTCTTCCAAAGCCCCTGGCATGACTGTTTAAAACAGTGACAAGAGCAATTCTGACAACTTAGCAAGCATATTAACAAAAACATTGTCTGTGATTCACTTTTAGTTGCATGGCTGTGACCACGAAAAGAAATATAGTAGGAGAGTTGGGTACACTCACTTGAAATCAGCATTTTCATTAGGATAATCATTGTGTGACCCCGTTCTCAATTATCACCAATTCTAACCCAAAGACACCTTTTATTAAAGTAAAAAAGTTTCAATTGTTTAAATTAGACTTCTGCACAGTGTCAAAATGTAAACAAAAGAGAAAGGATAGCTCGGAGGAGGACATGTCAACAGCTGAAATAACTAAGACAGCAGAGAAAGTATGAAACAAATAGAAGTTGAGGCAATGCCAGCAGTAGCTAAATGCCCAAGCTCAACTGAACAAAGCAAGCCCTTCATGTGCCAGCTGAGAATTATTCTCAGTTCCAGACTTGCTCTCTATTGCACTTTAAGGATGTTTTTTCCACTCTCTCATTAGTGCTTCTCTGTGGTACTAACACAGTCTCTGGTAAGTTAAACTTATCAAAGCATCATTCTGAATTTATCCATGAAAACTACAACAAACAGGGTCCCAACCTTGCTTCTGAACCAGTGTGGTCATATCAGAATGACAAGTATCTTGTTAAGCAGCTAACTTCTCAACTTCATCTCCATCTTTAAATTCTCCCATTTTTTAACACTTCTGCCAGCATGTTAGAAGACCTACCGGGGAACAAGAAAAACACGGTATTAACTTCTGCTGCCATTCAATTAGCATAAGTGGGGCTACAAGACTTCCAAGGAAAACAGTGGCGTGGATGAAGTCTTTGAAAAAGCATTTTGCTAGAAAAATTAATGGTCATGATTGTTAGTTAAGACAGGATCTTACATACTTGCACAATTCGAGTCAAAGCTGAGTATCGTGTTTACTGGCGTGATGTTGAACATAGTGGTTCCTATTTATACTGACAGCAAGCAATTAATCATTGCCCTAGAAAACAACCTTTGAGGTTCTCTTCGTACACACCTACTCTTCAAACAGAGGCAAGCTGCTAGGCAACCTCTGTAGCATTAGTTACTGGCACTTAGTCAGGTTGGTGTCCAGGGAACCCCATTCCCCAGCTGAAGTAAACTTGTGGAGTTCGAAGAAAGTCACATGGAGCTTTCCCAGTCTGGTTAACTGACACACGGTCCCGAATTTATGGTTTTCTACACTTAAATTTTTCCATAAAGTTATACCAGCAAACTCCACCAGGAAGTTCTCTTTCCAGTATAGTTTACAATGGTCACAAAAATTGAAAGAACTATACCAGCAGAAGACTTCTAGTTTAATAACTGTACCACACACACCCTGTCAACACTGAGAATTTGAAAACATGTTAATTAAAAGTTTTCACTGACACTTTTTTTTTTTTTTTTTTTACACCCCTTATGAGTTTAGCTATATCTGCAGAAATTTACAGATCTGAATTACTTATAAAGAACATTTTATAAATGGTTCTCTTCCTTATCTCAACTTGCTAACATAGATTGTACCTAATGAAATTAACACAACAAAAGTAAAAGCACATCACTTAATTATGAACAAGGTCTACAGTTGTAGAAATTTTCCTCTTTCCATAAATTCATATATTAAAATGAAAATCAACTGGCAAGACAAAAATATAGATATGCTTATATAATATGCATTAAAGACTGATTTGTAGCAGCTGCTTTGGCACTCAAATGTCAAGAATATCAGTTTTCATTTCCTCTTTAGCATTTGTTTGAAAAACTTGGGGATGCGATATGTCAAGATATTAAACCTTAGTAACAACCTAAAAGGATAAGAAGAGGAAAAAAAAAACCACCATAGGAAAGAAAGACTTCTTTTCAATAAACCCAAGCAACTTAATGTGTAATTTCGCTTATAAAGATAAAACCCCTAATATAAAACAAATCCACAATACCACAAATACAGCAAAAGCCTTTTTTCAAATCCCACTTAATTTAACAGTAAGCTCCCAATTCAGATTAACATGAAATTGTTCAAAGGCTAAGGAGGTGAAATGAATGGGGTGCAGTCTCAGGGCTGGTAAATGCTGATAAAAAGATTAAGAGATGGAATCATAAATGGATATCAGCATTACTATTCTTTATATTGCTATACCAAAAATTTTGACCGAACTAACAATTGTGCACAGCTGGGTGGATTTTTCACCTCCTGACAAATCAAAGAAATATGAGTAAGTGAAAAGCAATCATGCATCATCATCAGCTTGATTAACTGAGAATTGTCACTTAAGATCAAATGTCAAAAGCGATACTTATCTAGTTAATAGTAAAAAAAAAATTGGTTATCCATGATGCGGTTTTGAGAATTTCATGATTCCTTGTAAAACTTGTCACAGAGCAGTAATACTTCACTTTAGTGACCCAATAAATAGTTCTGAACAGCCTTCTAACATTATCTGATATTGAGTCAGACCAAGCAGAACAGAGGAAAAAAAGATAGCAAAGCATCAGATTCACAGAGGTCCTGAAAATCCGCAAGTTCTAGTTCATTAGTACCCCTGAAAGTCAGTCTCAAAATGCTTTTTGAAACTACATAAATTTAGCAATTTTCTTTAATTTCTAATAAAATAGTTGATATAATTCTTATATGGCAGATGAACAACACAGAAGTTCATCATTACAAGGGATCAATTAAAAAGCAACCTCATGAGAGCCATAACCTAGCTACAATTAAATGGCATTGCGTTAAAAGTATTTATAAGTTACTCATCACCACAAAACCTGAGAATCATTCCCTCCCCCCCCCCCCCCCCCCCCCCATGTACTGTAAGACAAAGTTGTTCCTTGTGAACTTCCAAGTCTTTCTTCTCTCATTGATATGCAGGGGAAAACACGTCCCAGGAAGAGTTTGGAGACAAAAGTCAGTAATTCCCCATCTTAAAAAAAAGCTCTTTGTCCCTTTTGGTAGTTGGGAGAAAACACAAGTGTCTAGCAACAAGAGAGTCCTAATCACTGGCAGCATCCTATCATCTATACCTTTTACGGTGCTCAGTATATAAAAATAGTATGCTTCAAATTACAAGGTAACAGGAGTGGATAAGAGAGAGGCATTAGAGTGCTGCTAGTCACATTAATCATATATATCGATTGAATACTGAATGCTTTTTCAGTTTGTCTGACAAACTGGAATGGCTGGGGTAACCCCTTGCTCAAACGTGTGTTCTGTTTTTTGTTTGGGTTTTGGGTTGGGGTTTTTTTTGTCGTTGTTTTTTGTTTTTTTTTGTTTCTGGGTTTTGTTTTTTTTTAACATCATTCATTAAATTTCCTGGGAATACACAAGGCTTTCTTTCCTGGCTGTCCTCACAGATTTCTTTGCTTGCCAAATGTTCAGGTGCCCTCTCATCATCCCATTAACACTTTACTGATCTCACAGCAAAAACCTGCAGTGAATTTAAAAATTCCTTTCTATATGCCTGTAAAATAATCCCTCTCCGCTGTTTTACTGCGCATGAAGAGGGCTGTGCTTCGTGGGAGTTGTGTGTTACGTGCCCTGTGAGAGAAAAAGTGACAGCAAATGTCACAGGAGAGATCATACTCTCTCACTGAGTTTAACCTTGGGTACACCTACACACTTACGACATGCAGGAGCTACTGACACATACGGAGTCGACTTTTTTTGCTTGTCTTTAAAGATAAGACATTAACATTCTGACTGTGCATAAAAAAAGGTTGGCAAATGGTACTTTTCTAAAAACAGCTACACATGGAGTGTCTAAAAACACGTTCTTAGTGTTCCATACCTGCTGTCGGTTGCCCGCTAGACAGAAACCTAACTGCAAGTACTACAGTCACGTAGACAGATAAAATCAAGGTGAGTTACATTCACTGCCTGCATTATATCATCTATAACAGTTTTGGATTAAAACTTAGTTTCTATGCTAGTATACTTGTTTTCGCATTTGGCGGAATAAGATTACAGTACAGTCTTCCCAAAATATACTGAATGAAACAACTTACGTCAAGTGTTTCAGGTATTTTTAGACTATGCAGTAGAATAAATACTGCAAGATTATTCTTACAGTTCACATTCCGAGTCTATCTGTACTTTAAAAAGTTATATCTTCAACAATGCTCCCATCACAGATTATGATGAAAATTTCATTGAACTCAAAAAAACTATTTGGGAGTCTGGGAGGGAAGCCATGTCTTACGGTCCTTCATATAGCATTACCCTGAGAAAGTTTCAGTAGCTATGCCAACACAGTTCAATTCTGAGATGCTGAACCAAGAGACGGTTTTCAATTCAGATCTCAGGATCACATCCTTAAGATGCCTCAGGGTAACATCTTCAAATTCTTATAAGATCTTTCGTGTCACACTACAACTTGATCCACTTTCTTAAAAAAAAAACCAACACCAAACATGCACCTGATTAAATTTAAGCACACAAAATAGATTAATAAACAAATGGTTGGGAAACAAGGAACTGGGTGAGACAGAATAAGGCGGCAACATTTCCCACAGAAATACTTCTGCATATCTAATTGTTGAAGAAGTCATTGACATAAGCTGATTTCTCAGTGGTGCAGATGCATTCTGCGATATAATGTACCTTATAAAAATATCACTCATTCAATACAAGAATTCAAGTGTCTGCAGAACTAGAATATAGGAAAAAATAGTTTAGGGGAAAAAAGCCAAAACTGTAATTCTGTAGTGCATGGTAAAGTGAAATTAGGCAATTACATTCTGAAACGTACATCTCAGAACAGACTTGTTCAGTACATAGATCTCTACATTTCCTTCCATTTCTAATACCGGATTTTTAAGAACACGAGTACCATGCTCAGTTGATTAAAGCAAGCAAAAAGCCTTTCAAATTTGGCATTTTTTCCTCCCGTGTTTCACATTCAGTTAGACTGAGGGTGATTTAGTAGTAGCTTCCTCCATCTTAGCCTCTGCAGCAACTTGATCTTTTCACCTTCTCACATCACTTCACAAGAAGTGTGCCTGTGTTTTTCCTGATGTTGGACTAGGCGTGGTATCTAGATCAAATGCTGCTGTAGTCCGAGCCACGGGCAACAAGAGCTGCTGCTGCTTCCCACTCCACTGTAAAGAAGGTAATTGTTCCAAAGAAGCCCACGACCACCATGATCAGGAGTTGCCACTGCAGAAGGAAGTAGTTGCTGTAGAAATATGCAACTGCAGCACAGATGGACTGAGAGAAAAAAAACACAAGGTAAAACGATTATCAGTGGAGATATCCAGGCTAGTATTACTATACAAGGATTATCAAACTGGCATACACACAGTTTAATATGCAGCTCTCAGTAGCATGCTTCTGTAGAAGATATATAATCTTAAAACTTCATTATATTCCAACATATGTCTTGATATGCTATACAACAGATTTAGTTTTCACTTGTTATTTAAATAGTGTTCACTGCAGAAAATGAACATAAAACTCAAGTGTTTGTAGCGTCGCAAATGCAGTTCTCTGGTATTTGAAAACAGTTTGTCTAGAAATGACACTGCCAAGGCTTTAAAACAAAATCCAGAAAACTATTTCCAGTTTTACAGCATCACAAACTATTCTATATCAAAATAGCTAGAGGCTTTGACAAGCAGTGTTGCTTACTTGCAATCTATCCTTTTTAAGGGTAAAATTTTCATTAGAGCTCATGAAGAATCTTTATATTCCATGTCTATCTCAAATTCTTACTATCACTGAGAATGATGTATAAAAATGGAGCAGTGCACAAGGGAAAAAAATATCTTTTTGAAGCAAGCAGCTGTCATCTTTTAAACTAGATGCACTCTGACCTCTGCTCCCAGCACTAGCTTGCTATTGGTGTGAGCATGCATGAGCAGTTTCAATGCTCTGCACCACCGTTTTTCTACCGATACCTCTGATCAACACAGATCCTGACCTGGAAAGTTCAGTACCAAACAAGATTAGTGCCTGTGAATGAAGTGATCTATCCAAAGTGCAGCAGTTGTATTCATATTGTATGAAGACTTTTCATCAAGTCTCCAGTAGCATAGATGCATTTTTTTTGGCATTCTGACAACTTAAGAACAGATAAACAACATAACTTAATTCTCCTTTTGTCTGTGTATCCACCTGGTAACTCCCAGTGACACGGTACAACACCCACAACCTCTTCAACTACTATTTAAACAACTTGTTTCCTTTTAACTCACCCCCCTCTGTCAAAGAGTTCTTTGACTACATTAATTCAGTAAAAGATTACTTAAGTAAAACCCAAGCTGGTTAACTGTACTAGCCTTTTGACTTTAAGTTACAACTCCAACACTTCTAACTTCCCTCAAAACTCGTAAGTAATAGCAGTTTTATTAGATAATCACACCAAGCTAAACAATCAAGCTACTCCTACCTAAAAAACCCTTTTTCTCCTGTGAAAGCAAAAAGGTTGAAATCCTTTGCAGAAACAACATAATTTTTCTCAGCTCATTAAAAAACCCAGCCCAGTATTTCAGTAACATTCCAACAGTCACACTTCCAAAAGGCTGTGCTATGTAATACCTGAACAAACTTAAAGATGGCAAAGGCAGGAGCGCTGTCTTCTGAATACAGGAATCCTAAAATGCTGAGGAGCTGGGTGTTGAAGCAGCTGTCCCCCAGGCCCAGCAGAAAGCTGCAGAATATGGCCACCTCTTTGCTGAAGGAGAAAGCGAATCAAATTTAAAAGCCATTCATTCAAAGAGCTTACACATCTATAAACTATTTTTGGCAGACTTACTTGGAAACTGAGAATGGAAGAAAGTTATCAAACTTTAAATTTCACTGGAAAAGAACTGGGAATGCCTGGCTTGGTGAAAAGAATAGTTTCATCAGATTTTAATTTCTTGAATGCTAAGACTTCTGTTACTGTTACCTGCAGTGAATTCTGCACTGAATTAGAACCTCTAGAAGAACTCATTTTGGTGTTTGGAGCCACAAAGCCCACAAGGCAGTGATTAAAAGGTGAGACACACATGGTGAGTTCATAAAAACTGCAGGAATATTAGAGAATTACCAATTCATTTTGCAGAAAAATACTCCAGTTAAATAAAGAATAGTCACCAGCACAGGCACAAGTGATTAGAATTGCAAGTTAGCAGCTGAGTCTGCACAAACTGACAACACTGTCTTTTCACACAAATTGTTAAAAATACACCCCAAAGAAGGTTGCAATGATGAGATAAGAAAGTTCCCTATATTCTTCCCCTAACACTGAGTGGTATAAGAGACAGGCATCGCGTGGCTCCAGTTAGATCAAGTGGACTTCGACAACGAGCATTCAAAGACTTTGGAAACAGTGCAGCAGTGCAAGGCTGGTGCTCCCTGCTGTAGTAAAACAGAATTCCTGACACCCAGTACAACAGTTGCCGGTCTTGCTATTGTACTAGATGCCAGGAACGTCAGTTCTCAAGTGACAGAATTGCTACCTAACATCCTCATGCTTTTTATTCTTATGCCATTTAAATTCCTAAATTGGGTGCACACTAGTAGAATGTCTGCCTCTAATAAAAACAGAATTCCCGAAAGCCTTTTCTGTGGGGTTAGTCACTACACAGAAAAGCAGCTTCAAGGAGTTTCCTATTAGAGGAACAAGCTCTTTATATACATCTTGAGTTATACCAGCCAAAGGAAAAAGTTTACATACCTTGGAATCATATAAGCAACATCATCTGTTCCTTCCATAGGAGCAATAGGGGCATCATTTGGCATGTTGAAAAAAATTAAGTAAAAGGCTATGAAATGGACAACGATGCCTAGCATCACAACAGGGTTCCTGCCAAAGCGATTATTCTTGCTCAATAAACCGAAGATTCCTCCACCTGTACGAGTCAAAAAGATTGGATAATTAAAACAGAACTTAAGATGTAAAGAACAGAACCAAACTTAAAATACTGAAAAAAAAAAAGCTGAAAACTTAGGTTATAAACTTCCCCATATTGGATAACTGAAAGATTGACAGACATGAAAACAGTCCCAAGGAGTCTGCCAGATCTGCCAGCCCCATTTGCCAGACGACACAACCTTTGGGTTGCTAGAGATGTCCGAGATGCGGGCAGGAGATTTATCAGACGATTGCTGATGAAGACACTTAACATTTTTGCAGGTATTTTCCCACCAGCCACTCTTCCCTCCAGTATCACAACAGTACTAAGTGAAAATGCATGGCCTTGTGCTTAGCTCTTTTAATTGCAAAAACAGGCATCTCCCCCACAAAGACAGTGGGTTGGTTTTTTGTGGGGAGTTTTTTTGGTTGTTTTGGGGGGGGTTCTCCCCCACAAAGACAGTGGGTTGGTTTTTGTGGGGAGTTTTTTGGTTGTTTGGGGTGGGGGGGGGTGGTGGTGTTTGGTTTTTTTAACACCGCAGGACTTGAGTGTAAGCAAGAAAAAAAGATTTACTTAATGAAAATTACCCATATTTAATTTTATTCAAATATCAGATCTCATTTAACACACGTGAACTTTTTTAAAGAAAAAATCTTTAGTGTAATAATTTTTTAAATAAATTTAACATAGTTACGACATCACTTAAGAAATATAAAAATGTTTTTTTTAATAATACTATTTAAAAGCAGAATATCAAAATGCTGAAAATTCCCTCATAACATTGTAGCCTAGTGTTTCTCTCATTCTAAGTCTTAGGTATTTCTTTGCACTAACCCAGAAAAAATGCAAAATCTTAGGATTCATAGTCATCAGTATTTCACATCCTAGTCCACGTTCACTTTACATGGTATAATGTATAATTCACAGCACAATAAGAACCATGTTGACAGTTTTATTTCTAATATTTCATTTTTTGTTTACATAACCATTGCTGGAAGCTTGAAAGACACTATTCAGTTAAATACAAAAAAAAAATTTTAGCAACTACATCTTAATCCTTTTTTGTCTGTAGGGTAGTAAATTTAGACTCACCTAAAATTTCTCCAACACCAATAAAAATACCAGAAAGACCAATAAGGCTTTTCTCCTCACTGCCAAACCTATTCACAGCACCAATACATGTTCCATATACTCCAGAAAAGAACGTTAATTCCAAACCTTTGAAGGAAACCAAACAAAATTGATAGATGAACTATTAAGAAAGTTATGAAAAAATTCTTTATGTCTAAAGGCTGTTTTTCCCTAAAGTGCCTTTCACATATATTTAAATGAGGTATGCGTAATAGAAGCAAACAAGGAATTTTAAACTATTAATTATGATATTCTCCTATGCCAGTTTACAAAAACTATATTAGAAAAAACAGTGTCACTAATTAGTGTCACATGCACTTAGGTTCAGTACTGCTTCTGTTGACACAATCCCTGTATATAGTTTATATTGCTACTTTTCAAGAACTTCGGAATTTCATCCAAATGAAAGGTGCCACGTAAAATAACACTTAAAGTAACTGAAGAAATAAAGCACAATTTCAGTGTAAGATTTTTTTCCCCCACAAGTTATGGCATTCCTAAGAAAGTCCTTGCATCCCCAAATACCAATAAGGAGCTAAGATTCCTAAAATGGACTGCTACTTTTCTATACATACATAACGAACTAAAACTGAGAAAGAACAACTGCTATTTCTTTAAAATGCTTCTTTCTTTCTCTTGCCATTACTGTGAGGAAAGGTAACGTAGCTGAGTCTGACTAGCATGACTATAAGCAGCCAGTGTAAAAATATCAGTTACTTAATAAAAAGAATATTTAAAACTGTGCAAAGTGTTATGCTTAAGCAAAGAAAAACAGTTCAAAAATAAAATTGTTTCTAATTCACCTCTTTTGTCTTTTGCTGTCGCAAAGATATGGTACACCATATCCTGGGCTACCAGTAGCAGGCAACCTAACATGATATATGAACTGCATATGCCCCTCAAAAAGGGATGAACTTTGAGTAGTCTTAACAATCCGACCGTTAATTTTGGAAATAAAAGCTTTGTTGGCTTTAGAGGATTTTGTATTGTCCTACGGAAAGTGGCAATATCGGCCAAGAGCCACCAGATGGCAGCAGCTATTTTTTCCAAGCTGGACTGAGGTTTTTTCCTGCTACCTTTAAGACCAAATTGCAGATTAATCAGGCAAAACCTGACTCCCTTCCCTTGTTATCTTGCTTCACATTCCCGTTACTAAATTCCCATGCACTAAACGTCTAAGAGGAATTCAAGTTAGTTAATTTGGGTTAACACAACATTGGAGATGCTGTGAAGTAACTTGTAACTCAGATTAGTGGCTGGTGCAAGCCGACTTCACAGCTACTACTGCTACTTCTCTACCAGAAGCTGACTGCAAACTTTGGCAGATGTTATGGCACTGTTTATGGTTTGTTCACACCTAAGTTTTTCTTTTCACCCACAAGAGCTAACAACAATTTTTCATAACAGTGACTCAGAGCTGAGGTTCTGAAGATGAATCTATTCTTCCTAAAACTTAATTTGATCACAAACAGAACTACATCTGAAGCCAATTAAGGAGCAAGAAACCCTCCCAGAATCCATTAAAGGCTCCCAGTAACATTTTGAACATTTTATAGTATTTTTGTAGAAGAATCGCTGTAGTATATGACAAAAATAAATGTATTTCTATTCTACAACTCATACCTTGGTCTAACAATGGCAGACCAGGTTTAACTAAAGTTGCCAAAAAGAGAGCAAGCGCCTGCCACAGCAAATACTAATGACAAAAATAGTTGAAAATAGCTAAACTTTTTCCCAATAGAACCAAGACTAAGATGAAGACTGTTAGAAATCTCTCATGCCTTAATGAAGGTGACACTGAAAGTGTGATGTACAAACATTATTTTAATTCAAGTGCAATGCAATTGTATTAAACACTCTACAACCTATTGATAGTGTAATGCCAAATCACATAAAAACCACCTATGTAAATTTTGCCTAACCCTCAATTTGGGACCCAGAACTGTACTGAACCAAGCGTTACTACATCTGTCAGTACCTGCAGATTTAGGTGCACCCCTCCTCCCATACAGAAACGCTTTCCAGAACAGAGAAATGTCGTAAGTGACTAACTCATTCAAAGTTAATTGAAATATTCAAGTAAAGTTTGCAGAGGTATAGAACTGCAATCCTGCTCTGGGGTTGTAATTCCAAACAATGCCCTGACACTGCTACATGATTATACACTCTGCTTGCTTCATACCTGTGTAGGCTGTTGTAACACTGAGAAGCATAATCTCTTTGGTGAAGCTCAGCTTTATAGATTTCTCTGTAAAGACATAGTAATGGAAATTAATATAACTTCGATAACACTATTAAGAGAAGCTACACTTTCTTTCGCCCTTCGCTTAAAGCAAAAATAGGTTAAAATTATGCAAACTGTGACTTTATTACAGTAAACAGAGTGCTAAACAAACAACTCTAACCTGCCCTTTAAAAGCAATGTGGTGATCTGAAATCCTTTTTTGTAAGAAACACAAGAGGGGGGAATATTAAAGAGAGGATATACAGTTTTCAATTAGCAGACAATTTTCTGCTCGTTGTATTCTTGTACTCTCTCTCAGTTCATGATGATTGTCTCCTAAAAGGATAAATAAATTCTCAGTGAAGATCTCCACATTCTCAAAACAAAATTAACAGTCACAGGCAGACCACATCAAACTTCAACACAAACTGCAGATGCTCCAATTCAAAATTGTTGTTTTATTTTCTCACCAAATGATACCACTTAAAAACAACATGTAACTTCTCCTTTATCTTGTTATGGTAGTGATTTAAAAAAAAAAAAACCACCAACCCAACTTTCATGCACTAGCATTCCCAAGCAGTGACCCATTCTTCCAGAGCTCATCTACAGAAGGAAGCTATTGTGAAATAGCTTGGATCTGAAACTACATCAAGAAAGTACCCCTGGACTATACTAGTATGTAACTGAAGTAAAGTCTACTTCACTTTCTTTGCTTGCAGTCAAGCTTTGTTTGTATGATATCATCACCTGAAAGGAGCACTTCTGAAGCATAGACAGCCAGCTCACACCAATCACACATCAACAGTAATTTGACCACACGTTCGTTCTGTGGTTCCCAAGATTTTCCAGTTGCAAGCCTCATTTTGGCTAGTCTCAAAATCACAAATACTCACATCGACAACTGAATTCCTATCAGGCTCAAAACTCATCAGTCCTGTGTCCCTGTGTGAACTGTCATCTCGGGTCTGAAAACCACTGCCATCTGGCAGTCATTTTCTGAAGAACATAGACCTTCAGGGATGGCCTGCTAAGTGGAATAACTGAAATGCATTCTTCAAACCTTATTTGTTCACAAGTTTGTGTTCTAAGTGATTTGTACATGATCACATTATCAGCAGAATCATGGAGAGCTGGAAAGGATGTCAGTATTTTTTGAAACAACTCTTATGCGAAACAGTACTTACTGAAGGCAGCCACTGCTCTCGTCATTTTGTTTTGTGCAGACCTGGATAAACAAATGACTTAATCAAAATAGAAAAAGAATAACCACATTGTATCACTATGCTGAAAGGCAGCTTAATTTTTCAAATCTTCTGTACATTTTCTAGCCCAGCATTATATACTGGAATATAGTAATGTATTATTAAAAGTTTCTGAGATTCTAAACTACTAATTACAAAGTTTATTTGCTTTCTGGGCTAGTGAATGTCATTCAAAAATTAACCTGCTTAACAGAGTCTTTCTTCTGAGCATTTTTAGCTTTGAACATTTTTTCACTGGCATACTTACTGATGTTTTTCTAACATTTTCAGTGTTCTTTAAATAAAGCAAAAATATTTAAACTGATGCCTCAGGCAAAACTGTACTGAATCTATCTATGTACCTATGTTCTAATACATACACTTCTAATGTATTTATCAGGGTGGCATATGTATGTATTTAGAGAAGATGAAAAACATGTTTCAGCATGTAAAAGATAACCTATAAAAAGGGAGTAATTTCGGCTTATTCCAGCCTTTAAACTGGGCTGATGAGGGCAAGACAGACTAGGAAAGGCAGATACATGTTTAATAATAGTCAATGGAGAAAAGAGGTAAATGGTATCTTTCCAAAGGCACTTGCTCATTAATGGAAACTTAACATGCAGTACTGCGCTCCACCCTTGAGAATGTGTCATATGAAGAACATTAATTCTCACTTGTTAAGGTACAGACACTTTACTATTAAATCTGTAAATTCTACAGGTTGTTCATAACATTGATTGTTTCCAGTTCAGAGAAGAAGTGAATGCGATGTTCCATTGAGGAGCAGGAGTACAAACGAGTGTGTGTGACAACATATTATTGCCATAAGCACTTACGAGCTGTCCCCCAGGATTTCATTAGTAGAATCTTCCTCCCCTGGAGTTTTCGTGTCCTCTTGTTTCCTAATCAGAAAGAACAGAACTGTGCCCACAAGACTGATAACAGTCAGAGCAATGAAGACAGTTCTGCGATCGCTCTCTGTGGAAAAACAAACAAGAGTCATAACTAGATGTGCAAAAGCAATTCAAACCAATTCAACTACCTTCAAAGAACTAATACAGACATACTATGTAACAGTGTTTAAAATGCATACTAATTTTCTAACTTACCTTTCACGTGGAGCAAAAGGTACCCAGCTGCTGGCAAATTCCTGTCTCAGTTTTATGATGCCAATAAAATATTGGCATATTAAAGAGTGTCACTCGTATTTTCTGCCATGCAAAGGCTATGACCAAGGAGGAGCCAATTAACAAAGGAAGTGCATAAATTATTAGCAGAAGAAAGTACATCTTTCAAGACTTATATAATTCAGAGTGGACATAGCAAACTATCCCAAAACCCTTCAAATTTCTAAGAAAAAGCTCTTTACCAGTATCAGAAATATTAGTGCTGTAACATCATAAACTGGTAGGCTTGTAAACTACAAATGCCTTAAAACCACTGAAACCTCACTAACTGACACAGCATACAATATGCAGCTGGAGGAAGGTAATTGCTGCCCTATGCACCAGCTCTGCTGCACTAACCAACTTGTTTGCACAGGCAAGTCTGTAATACAGAAGTCACTCCCATTTACAAATATTGAGCAGTGAAAAAAAGCCAAGAAACAGCTAACACTTGTGATTGAACTAGTGTATGAGTCTGAAGATATCACCTACGCTTGTATTTACTTCCCCTTTAGCTTAGAAGTAAATGCAAAATTGTTCTACATCAATTAAAAATAACCTGTGTATGATTACAGATCAAAAAGAGAATATGTGCTTCACCTTGAAATACCTGTAATATTTTTATATAGGTAGTAAAAGGAAGGAGGAATTTATTTTTAAAAGTTGTTAAATCTTCTGATATCAACATTTTTTTAATAAAGAGGAATCTTAAGACATTTAAAGATGGAGGAAAATGTAACAGCAGAACTCCCTTATAGTTAATTGCTCTATTCTGTGGTTAGCAAGAGCAACGAAATTTAGAACGCATAGAATTTCAGGCCCACTAAAGTGTCTCCAATACTTTCAATAACATTTAAACCTTTGTGTTAAAGGTGAGGGAACATGGAAGATAACCTCGAAAAATTAACCTGTGCCACGCTACCAAGCCTGTGTCTGTGGAGAACCTGAAAAGGTGGATCTAACAGAAGCATGAAGTGGACTATTCATCTCAACAGGGCAGTATTTCTGAAGCCTGATAATTATAATTTAAAAGTCAACAACTTATTCCTGATTGACTAGAGCAGAAGTATCCTCATCTTCTAAACGTAAAAGAATTGACCATTCAAGTAGATATTTTACTGTAAGACTACAATAAGGAAAACTCTCACAGTCATTATAGAACAGGACAATCAACCCCATTTGTTTACAAAATGTTGTTTTTCCAGCAATGCTTGGTTTTTATAATTAAAATCTTAGATTTTGCTCTATTTTCACCATTGCAGTTTTCTTAGTTGATACCCCCACCTACCTCGACTTGCTTACTTAAACAGTTGCCAGAAATCTGTTTTAAAACCACTGAGTCTCAACCACTATCCAGCTTCTTAAGAGTATTAATAAAGTCCACTGTTCTCTAATTCCTGCTCTTTACCAGTCTAGCATGATGGCAGACAAAAAAACCACAGTATTAATTACAATCCCATCAGGAAGTTAGTCTTCCTTTCTTGGCATAGTTTACAAAGACTAAGTTCTTTACACACTCTGCCAGCAATGCTGCCAGTTTAAGCAGCAGCAACCCGCCCTCAGTCCAGCTGCACATCTCAACCTCTGTCTTGCTACACTGCTTTGTGCCACCACAATGATTAGTGCAGCCATGAAGCGAACGGGCATGGTTTTCCTTTCTTTTCCTTTATTTCATAGGCTAACCAGTCTCCAATCTGATTTAGACAGACAGTCTACACCAGGAACTTACTTTGGAACAGCATAGTGTGTATATTAAACATACAGCCATTCCAGAATACCTTTCCCCCATGCGTATTTTGGCATAAGCGTGTCTGCACAGGGAAAATCCCAGACTAGCTACTGTGGAAAACCTTATTCTAAACTAGCATTCTGAAAAATTTCATAGACAATATCCTAAAAGAAGGTACGCAAGTACACTGCGTGCAGGAAAACAACATAGATAATACAAGGGCCGCGAGTACCATGGAACACTGAATCAAAAAACATACTCCAAAAATAGAGCATATCTAACAATAAACTGGAAAAAAAACCTGTCTGCTGTTGTATAAGTTTCTTGCCACTTTCCAGTTCATTATTTCATGTTTATTCATGCTACTGTACTTTAAAGGATGGCCTCCCATATAAACAAGCAATACCCACCTGATATGTGAGTTTTTCCTTGCCAAGCGAAGTATATATAGAGGTTTCCAAAAAACAAGCTGTAAACAAAAAGAACAAAGGTGAACAGCACTTTTTGTGGTAAGATTAAGGTTGTAGCATCACGGTAATAGTATTCTATGCAAAAAATAGTACTGTGCAATTGTGAAAGAAAAAGACACTAGCCACTCTCCATGCAAACTGCTTACTCTATATCAAACTTCAAACGCAGTAAAGGATTCTTCCCCATAATGCTGGCTATTCATTTTCAAGAATCAAAACACAAGGTGGTAGCAAAAATGAGGAAATCTGTACCTATTGCCTCTCTCTCTAATTTTGGAAGGGCATATGTTAGAAAGCTGACATATTTATGGAGATGATTTTGTAATGCTTCCTTAGAAGAGTCATGTGTCTTGCCTGAAGTATTGCCCCAGCAATGCTAAATTGGTTGTTAACAGCTCAAGGGAAATTCTGTGTTCCTACCTACAGTTTCCTGAAATATAGTAATTCTGAATGAATAGTGATTCAGAAGAACCTTAGAGTCAAGTTTCCTCATATAAAGCATGCATTTTACTCACTGTAGAACACACAATTAGTTGGGTTTGTGAAAATTGCTACTCTGATAACATATGATATGTTAATTCCTGAACCTGAAACTTAAGAAACACAAAAAGTATGCCACTGGTTCAGACTGATGTTCTACTAATCCAGTATTCTGTCCCCACAGGAGCATTAGCAATGCCATTGAATGCAAGCTCACCAGCCAGCACTTCCTGCGATTCATACCCCTCATTATCTCCCAATATCCAAAATTGCTGTATTAGGGGTGATAAAAGGTATCTCTCTTCAGCAACCATTCGTGGACCTGCTGCCAATGAATTTGTTTGATCCCTTTTTGATCTTGCTGACACCATCCAACTCCACACCCTCCTGTGGCAGCAAGTTCCAGAAGTTTAATCACCCACTGTGTAAAGAAGCACTTCATCTGTTCCAAACCGATCCTCTTCTAGTTTCATCAAGTGACCCGAGTTCTAGTACAGTAGCATTTGGTGAGCAACAGTTCTACATTCAGCTCACCTGTTGCCTTCATGTTTTAGTAAGCCATCACTATAATCCTCCTCAGACACTTTTTCTCCAAAGGAGAGAGTCCCAGCCTTTTTAGTCTCTCTTCAACTCAGCAGCTCTATCTTCTTGCAAATTTTCATTGTTTTTCCCTCTACCCTAATTACATCACACTCTCCCAAGAGGCATAAACCATATCTGCACAAAATACTCAATGGCAGCAGCACAGCGTCCACTACCTTGTTCTACACTACTTTTCTTGATGCCGAGCATTTTGCTGGCTTTTTTGGTTGATGCAGCACTCAAAGCTTAATATCTGAGAAGTATCAACAACAAGTACAATATCTCTTTTCTGTCTTCTGACTGCCAGGTTCAACTTTAGTATCGTCACTTCAACTTGTCAGTGAGCAGCAAGGTCCGGCTGCTCCATCAGGGAAGGAGGGCTAGGAGGCAAGGGGGATAACACATCCAGCAGAGAAGGTGCCTCGCCAGCTAGAGCCCAGCCCCACAGTACTCAAGCAAGGCAAGCAGGGCAGACCCAAAAATTGTAGGCAGGGTCAACCAAGAGTCCAGACAATCATACAAGCTCGTGTTGACAAGGCAGGTCTAGAGATCAAGCTGGGAACTCAGTCCACAAACCAGAGTCAGGTCCGGTGATTGCCACGCGGGTCCACAGCGACAAGGCAGAACAAAGCCAAGATGGGAAGTCAGTCTGTGGACTGGGGTCTAGGCCACCAGGATCCATGGCTGTGGCTGAGCTGGAGACCAATACTCCTCCAATGCAGCTCCAGAGGAACTAGGAGGCCCAGGGCTGAGTTTAAATGGGGGTCCTGGGCCCATGGGCAGATGGGAAGGGTGTGGTGGAGGTTCCAGGTGAGGTTGTTGAGGACCATTTGGGCTTATTAGTGCACTCAGGATCCTGACACAAATTAGCGCAGCCCTCCACAATCAACAAGATTTCTGTTACGTATGTCAATGCTCCCCTAACAGAAATGTATCTTCTTAGCATGTCGAGGGCAGAGGCTTGCAATATGTAACTTTCATTCATTGTTCTATAATGCACAATAGCAATAGAAATGTTGCTTCCAGCCTTCCCTCCCACTTCACTGACTGCAAGGTACCAGTGGAGTATTTTTAGATGGAGTCTCCCACTTATCAAAAAATGTAAAAAGTAGGATGTGTACACAACCAAAAAAAGATTAACAAATAAAGCTTACCTGGACTGTAAGAGTGCCCAAAATACTCCACTGTTCCTTCCAATGGTGTTTTCATCAGAATTTACAGTCAAGCAATTTCCCTGTGCCGTCCAGAGTACTGAAATATACAGAATATATTGCTCAGGAAATAAAAATATTTTAGAGGTCTATTCAAATGTAGCAAAGAATAGTAAGCAGGGTAAGAACAAGGCTTACCAGCAGCTGCAATGCCAATAAAAACAGAAGCAGTGTAGAAAGCCCATGTAGCAGGTTGGATAAAAATGGCAATGTATAGGCTAGAATAGAACAGATCAGTTTATTGAATATAGACTTAAAGTGGACAATGCTGTTTAACAATCAGATATGTCACTTAGTTTCTTCTAAATCAGCTACTCTCTCTTAAGTGATGTTGGAAAATAGTTCAGGTCATATGTGAAAAAAAGTAATCTTTTTAATCCACTAAGCACGTAGAATTTTTTTTTACATAGTCATTAATCTGAGACCACAACCTGAACTCCACAGTCAGCAAAGTCTGGAAATGCTGTGGAAAAAATACACTCTGTTTCCAGTAGGCTGAAGTACTCTGCAGTTACACATCTAAAGATACAGACAGTTGCCTTCCGTAGCCAGTACAATTTCGTGTATGGCATGGTAGCCTTAGGTCTGAAAAAATGAAAGAAAGACTTCAAAGGAAGCAGACAAAAATTCAAAATTAATACTTACCTATAAAATATGCCACTAACCACCATGGAGAGTTGAGGTCCTACTATCGCAACCACTGAAGGTGATATAAGATTTGATGCAGAGAATACTCCATAAATAATGGACATGCTACATAAATAAACACCAAAGGTGATTAAGTACTTAAAATATAGAGTATAAGTGCAACTGATTTAAGAATGTTCAGTCGATTCCAAAGTATCAAGTTAAGTACATATATAACTTAAGGAACTGCGTAACTTTCACGGTCAAAGATTTCCTTCCTTTCTTCTGTTACCTTCACCCACTGCACTCTGTATGGGAAAATAGGAGTGTACAGTGTTTCCTGGATTGCTGAATAGAGTCCCAAACTATTGCAGGCAAGCATGTCTTGTAATTTACAACAGGCATTTGTCAAACTGTGCCTTAACAATAGTTATTGTATTTTATGCCCAGTACTTCTAGAGGAGAATGTTCCAGAGCCTCATTCATCTATCAGTGAGGTTTTCATTTTCTGCCAAACACACCACAGAAATTGTATAGATGAATTTTGTGCCAGTTGTATGCTTAGTTTAAATTAAGACAGTAAACCCTTCAAAGCAGCAACCAGGTTTTCCTATATGACAGCTTAACTTGGCGTACAAAAGGTCCCTGATCACGCTTGGCGAGTTTCGCTATGCCAGTGCAATAAAACAAACAGAATGGCTTTTCGTGGCTTTGCTTCTCATCTTTCTGACTGCTCCTTTCACATTTATGTTGCAGTATTTCCTGGAAGTTGATCCACACCACCTATCCTACACAAACACACAGAGGTGTACAAGGGCAAACAACCAAGGCCTTAGTTAGCAGTTTTATTTATTTTAAAACTTCCACATTCCTTATCTCCTAAGATAAAATGCTGAGAATGTGATGGTGTTTTTTCTCCCCACAAAGAAAACATGCAAAACAGATATGTAGTTCAACTAGAAGTAATTCAGAGAAGAACTAGAGTGAATGTGAGAAGCCCATGTTTTAAACAGCTTAAGTACGTTATTAAATTGTGAAGTCAGCAGAACACTACAATCTCTTGAGTATGCCTCTGCCAGATGGAATTATAACTAGCTTCACCCTGCAAGGAGCACAGTAATAAGAAGATCTGTGTAAATTACCTTGTGTAGCCACTGCCATGAAAATCTGTGTTGTTTAAATTTGTGATAACAGTTTGCTGTGAGGAGAAAATCATATGTTGTAATATGTTAGAACATATCTTGTAGTTTGAGAACGCTTGCATCAGTTTGAAGTCAGTATTAAACGTTAGCATTAATCATTAATAGACTCTACAAAGTACTTAAAACTAACTTAAAAGTGTTAATTACAACTCACAACACCTCCACAATGAAGGTGAAGGAGATATTTGGCAGGGAAACATCCGTGTTTGAAGCAGTAATTAGTTCTTTAGGATTATATCATGATGTCATCAGAGACCTTAAAATATTTCACAAAGGATTATATCATGATGTCATCAGAGACCTCAAAATATTTCACAGAACTTTTGTTTCACAAAACACCTCTCTTAGGTAGATATGTATGACTATCTTAATTTAAAAAGTGGGGAAAAAAGGAGAAGTTTCAAAATACTCTTAATTTGACCTAACTATGAGCTTCTGATAAGAGTTTCCGTTCTTTTCGGTTTCCCGTTATTACCCTGTTCCTTTCTTTTTCCCTTGAATCAGCTTTAGTGATCATGAGACCATGTAATTAGTTGGATTGGTGGGCAGATCTGATTGAAAGTCACTTGTAATGACTTTAATGACAATAAATTACATGACTGCATGATCACTAGGTCCAATTCAGTGAGGTGCTGTGAATTCATTGCAGAACTCCTAAGATCACCGGGCTGTACTTCTGTACAGTATCAGACTGCACTATGACTTTTACAAAAACTATCCTAAGTAGTCATTTCTATAATGCAGTGAAGGACATTTATATGTCTGAACTCTGAAAGGATTCTTCTTGCATGCAAGAAAAGAGAAGCTGTAAGACCTGTAGGCTCAAGAGGTACGTTGAAATCTAACTGTCCTTCAGGCATATAACTAATATTGAAAGCGACGCCAACAACTCAGTAAGTTAGAGGATCCGGGCTAAGTATGTCAGTAGCAGGATACTAAAAATTTAAGTAGTAAGAGTACAATCTGCTTTTAATAGTAAATTTGGATAATGTTATGCCCAATCTTGCTTCAGCATGCAGAGATACACGATACTAAAGCAGTAAATTACTTATTCAGATGGAAGGTGACTTGGCAGTTCTAGCAATTGTGGAAGTCTGACTACTTGTCAGATGTTATCCTCATACTCCCCCTCAATGTCTAGTTTGTTAGAACAGAAAAATATGCTAGATTAGGAAAACCACTCCAGGAAAAACTAGGGGCGTGGTTAATAACAACAACTTAGGCAAATATTTTGAAAGGGACTATATAGAATAATCAGAAATATGGAAGGTCCAATGTAATTCAATTGTTAAATATTGCAAGTGTCGAAACAGACACTATTTTAAAGTTCAGACATTTGATAAGATTCATTAATTTTCTACTTTCTAAGCGATCAGGCACAGTTACATATGTAGCTATTCTATCTTAAAGAAATAAACTGCTTAATTATCCAGTTAAGCAACTTAATCTAAAAAGAAAGGAGACAAAATGTCAAGGTGTCTTGCACACTAAAAAACCCCAAGTAAAGCAACTCTTACATTAGAGTACACAAAAGACAAGAAAGGATGAATAACTGTGATAGAAATGTGACATGCTTTGAAATTCACACCTACCGCAATATTTCCACATGTTTGGAAAGCAGTGAATATAAACATAAATGAGACTCCCAAAATAATTATGTTGAAAAGTTTTTTTGATTCAGGAGACATTTTGTGTTTTCTTGCCAAGTCCTCAGCTTCAGTCTGGAAAAACTCTATTTTCTTTTAAAAGTTTCCTCTTAACCTCTGTTAAAAACAAACAAACAAACAAAAAGAATAAATCAAAAAAGAAAGCTTCAAAAATGACGATTACTTAGAGCTACTTATTAGCTGCTAGGCCGTAACCATCAACTAATCAAGAATCTGGTGACTCTCTTAAATCATGTACAGCAAAATCAGTAACTCGAAAAGAACCCAAAGATAAAGGTCTGGTACAAAGGTAAAGATCAAGATTCTCTACCTTTTCCCATGAAGTTAACAGGGCAGACTGCAATGTTACTTCCTCATGACATCTCTCTCCCCCAAACGGAGCAGTTTTCCAGATACCGAGCTAGTTAAACGGCTCAGTTTCTTGCCGTTGTTCTAAATGAGAATTCCGGTCCAAAGCCTTTAAATCACCTGACAAAGGAGAGATGAGACATTCGTACACGCGAGTCATTTCCATGCACGTTGGACAGGAAATAAGGAACATTTCACAATCTTAGATCAGCTGACCCAGCCTAGAAAGCCCTTGTGCACCATGGGAAATGCAGTTTTAGGAAAGTACACTTTTCTACTTGAAAGGGTGGAAATCTCCCAATCCTTAAAATAAAAGGATTTGCACAGGTTTTTAAGAATTATAATCTCTATCCACTAAATAACACGCGGCAAGATAAAAAAAGTCTTAGAAAGTAATCTAAGATAACAGTTTAATCAGCTGAATTCAAACACAGTCATTCCAAAGGGAAAATGATTCCCACCTGGGAGATGCTACATAGCTCAATGCCACCAGCACACACGCTCTGCACGGTGCTTCTGCCTTTCATTCTCTCAGTGACTCAGGAGAGGAAAGAGTCTTCATAATCCTTCACTGCTTTGTCTCGAGGAACAACATTCATTTTTAGCAATTGCATATTCTTAATATTTTACTTCACGGTATTTCTAAATAACAAATTTAAGATCAATTGATCTTTAAGTTTTGAAGACCTCCGGTAAAACATTAGCAAAACTGAAAGAGCATCACATGTCTTGTATCAACCGAATGGCTGCTTTTTACTGTTGCTGTCCTGTGTCTACCCTGTTGGGCCTCCAAGTCAGGATTGGAGCATTCAGCTAAATCGGCTCCACTTAACTGCTGGCCAGAGAGGAAGGGAAATCCAGAATTGATTGGAGTAAATGACAAATCACCAAATTTTACCTCTGCTATCTACAGTAAAGGACTTAAATAAAATCCGCATCCCAGCTATCGTTACGTATTTAACGTAATTCCCGAGTTGTATTTTCTAAAAAATTTAGTTTTTTCAAAACAGTGTTTATCTTTTACTTGTGGAAGAAAGTCAGTATGATTATTCAGAGGCTGCTTTACAGAGATCCAATTAGAATATCAAGGTGGTTTTTTTTTAACACATGCAAAGCTCTCTTCTTCCTTTTCTATATTATGAATTTATAGTAACAGATTTTTAAGATCCTCTAGGCTGTGTGTCCCACTTACGCCTCCTTCCCCTTGTGCCAGCATAAGCATTCCTCTAGCTGCACGGCAAACTGGACTGGTGTGCCGGACCAATTCTTTTGGCAACAGCAGCAGCTTGTATTGAAGTGACTGAAACTAGGGAGAAAGGGACACAGGAAACTCCCTCTGTCATTTTAGGGAAATAATTGTAAAGATAAACTTCAAATTTCTCCTTAGAGAAAGGGTTTCAGCAGATGAATCAGAAAATTTTTAATCAAAATTCTCTGGGGAAAAAAGAACCACCAATGCTATATGAAGCAATACAAAATGTGAAAGCCGGTACTAGTTTATTTGATTTCTTGTCTTTTGTAGCAGGAAACAAACTGTTGCTTCTGGGTTTGTATTGATATCACTGCTTATTGTTACACTTCTTCAATGCAAAAAATATTAGACATAATTACAGTAAGAATAAGGATTTAAATTCTAATACTGAATTTGCTTTCTCATATTGATAGTCACTGCGTTAAACAGATCAGTAGAGAAGTCTCTCTTCTTCGTTTCCATTCTTTTTTTTAACATACTGTTACAAAACAGATGGGTAGAAGCATTTATCATTGTTGGAAGATGAGAACTAAGTATTACAGTTCATACTTGGTGTTTGGGCATTTTATTCAGTGCCTGAAGTGACGTAGCAACAACTTTTGGGATGGGGGAGCAGCTTTCACTAAATTCCCTAGACAAAACTCAGGGAAACCTGCTTGTCATCCTTACACGAGGGCTGTGCTAATCCTCACCCTTGTTCAAAGCACGAACTTGCAGAGCGCGCTGTGTGTAAAGGAGGATTTCTGACGTTTCCCAGCTCGGCCCACAGCTCTCTCGCAGGCACTGATGCAGCCCCTGGAGTTCGCCTTGCCGGCAGCGTGCGGGCAAGAGGGCTGCCTACGCGGCTCTGCCACCGCACCGCAGCGCGCACCCACCGCGGCGCGTCCAGAGGAGGCTTCACCAGGCACTGCTGCCGGCAGGAGGGGAAGGAGAGCCCGCGAAGCGCCCACGCCGGCCAGCCCAGTCCCCTCCCAGCAGAGGCCCGCGAAAGCGCCCGCCTGCAGCGGGAACGGGGG